AACCCAAAGTGCACGATACCCAACAGATATATATAACCCGACCATCACAAGAACCATTATAAAAACCCAGGCAACACAAGAACCCAACAACACGAGCTGAGACCAAGAGGACCAAAGATTTAAAAAGATGGAAGAAACTAAAAGAGCTAAAAGCAAATGAAAAGATAACAGCAATAAGAAGGTAAGAGCAGGAAAATAAATAGAAACAAGTGGTTAAAGGAAAAACTATAATATTAATAAAAATAAAAAGTATATAACAAGACAAACTGCCTTGACCATGTCACTTAGATGTAGAAAAAATTATCGAAATAAGCAGGTTTTGATGAATAAATACAAAGGTTTAGAACAGTACAACAGAATGTAGCTTGTATTTTATATAGGTCTCAGACATTTTTAAATGTGGATTCTTGGTAGACTTAGTGTCTTACTTGACATGTGCAGTAAGAGCATACATTTAGCATGTTTCTAATGAAGACATAAGACCCATTGCACATGTCCCCAGTCTCTCCTAAAGTTTCAAAGCAGGAAAGAATAGAGGAAGAGGAGTGAGATAGTGAGTTAAAAAAGCAGAGAGGGCCAGAGAGAGGGAAAGAGTTTATCCAACAATAAAGGATGAAAGTAATAGTTGGGAATTATTCATTTATCAATAAACATCTGTTCTTTCATCTTCGGGCAATCAGAACCATCCACCTTACAAACACCTTTGAGCACTTTCCACAAACAGCATTACTCTGATTTGTCCACAACAATAGTCATAATGCTTGACAAACACTGAAATAGATCAGGGCCTAATGGGCACTGTGCCTTGCTGTACTTATAAACTCCAGGTGATTCAGGAGGGCTTCAAGTAAAAGCAATCATGCTTGATGTTTGCCTTCTGAAATTGTGTGCGTGGGTTATAGCTACACAGCTCAACATGAGGATTAGACTCCTCCTCCTTAGAGCTCTGATGTTATCCCCAACCAGGATTGCTTTAGGTTTATGTTATCCCACAATGGTTAAACGCAGTTACAACTTGACCTCACCACAACTCCAGTCTGGGTTACTTGACTAGCACTCATGGTTAATATAGCGGTGATTAAAACTGCATGTTTCCGTTTTCATGTATTTTTCACCAGGCTGTTTTAAAAGTCTCACTCTAAAACGCATTAAATCAAGAGAAGTGTGAAGGCCAGCATACTAAAGTATCGCAGTGGCTCGTAGTGTAGTGGCTGCATATTGTACCAAGTCAACTCAAGTTAAAGTAGATACTTGAAAGAATGAACGAGAGGAAATTGATGAAACAAATCGGACTGAACCTTCTGTAATCACATAGGAAAGTGAAATATTGTATTTACTTACATATAAGTAATTATTGACAACATCTATAACTCAGGTTAGATTTAATCATATGTCTGAAATTATTTTGGATATTTATCATGAATATTTGGAGGTGAAAGGTGCTCTCTATTCTACTGTCTACTGGGATTGTCGAAAGAATTAAAACTTCTGGAAGGATGTAGTAAAAAAAAAAAAAATGTCAAAGATGTTTAATACCAGAGTCCCTTTAAATGTCAAATTCTGTGTGCTTGGAACATATCCCGAGGACTTCATACAAACATTGAAACAGACAAAACTTCTGACTTTGGACTTACATCACTTGGGGCAAGCTGAAGATGGAACTATACAAGAATGTCATGAGAAATGGAAATGTGGGCATATTACATTTTGTTTTATTGTTATTTTATTCTGTTGAATTTAAAAGGGTTTGTAGTTGTCTGTGTGTATATTTCATGTATGTAGTCTCAGACTGTTGTTACTGTCTGTTTTTTGTGTGTGATTTCATAACAAAAGAAAAACACTGATCTTGAAGCAAAGGTGTTAGTAGTGATCACTCTGTTTGTATATTTAAAGGGACATTCCTATAATGTAGCCTCACCAGTTCCTCTTAATATACTGGACTTACAAGAGATTTATTTTAGATTTCCTAGATTTTCCATAATGCATCATTAGGAACACAACACACTCATAAAGGTAAGCACTTATATTTACTTAAGAGGCCTCTCTCTACCCCTCTCTCCCTCCGGACACTTAAAAGAAGGATACATTATACAACAGTTTCCACAGGATGAGGAGTTCTCTTCACAAATTAATGGAACTTTATCTTTAAAGTTAGTTGAGTGGTCCGTCAAATGAAAAAAAAGAGCACAAATCTTTGTAAATGTGGCATACTTTTGCACTAAATAATCTTATCTATCTTAAATTCATAAAAAACAAGTAAACAGCGAATAAAAAAAACTAAACAGAAAGTATTCTTTTTGCTGCAGGATATTTAGTACAATTGCATCCTCCTGTGGCCATGCCAGTTAAATTTTAATTATGTTTAGAGAAATGGATGAGATGAATTTGCAAGATAAATTATCGACTGGAGCCAAGCATCAGTCATCAAATAGTGTTGTTTATTTATGCCCCCGTAATTATCAGTTACTTCTGCTACTACTGAGATGAATAAGTTTAGATTGAAACCAAAACAGCAAGGTGTTGGTGTAGCTGTTGGTAGGTGTAAGTCGATTCATCCTCAGTAATGAACATGTCCAACAAAAATTCTATTTGAGACCATTTTGCATGCCAGTTTCAGCATAGTTGCCTCCTTAGTTCTAACTTTAAACCTTTACTGCAATTACCCATTCAGAATATAAACTGCTCAAAGTTGGAAACACAAAAAGATAAAGCTGCTAGGGAAAAATGTTGTAGGCTCTTTTAGTTGTAGCCTTTTAAAAAAGCAATGTGGATAATGGACGGCATGGTTTCAGTATATTGAATCTAAAGTGCTCTTAAACTGCATTGATGGTGGATGACTTATTTATGCCTGCATGATTAGTGAAAATAGAGACATGCAACCAAGCGAACAACAAGCAATAAAATCATCAGTCAGCCAATATCCACACTTTTACAGTCATATGCTAAACCTTGTTGGATCAGTGAAGAGATTTGGTAATTATCTGTAGTGCTTCAGAGTACTATATCACAGTTGAATCATGATGACCCTGTAGGTAGCGCATCAATGCTGCAAATTTACCATGATGGCCCTGTTTGCTCAGTGTTGGCAGAAATAATTGCAATTTTGACATGCAACAAACCTTCACAAAAAAACAACATCATAATCCTGTATGGATTTATACTGTATAAACAACTGTATCTATGAATAGGTTGAGTCATTTGATTTAGACTATACCAGAGAGTCTATTGGTTTCTGGTGCAGGTGAGTTATCTGGACAGTAGATTAAGATACTGTACTGTAAGGGACTCTGGGTCAGGGTCTTTGTGATTATAATATCCTCAAGGTGTTGCAAGATGTAAGGATAGTGGGAAACTGTTCCACCCCATTTTTCTGTTTGCGATAAGCGTGATGGTTTTTTGTGAAATATAAACAGCTGCCAGGCTTTGACCAAAAATAACAATCCAGCTTGACAGAAGGGAAATTAATTGTCTGATTTCTCAGATTTGAACAATTTAACTTTTTTCCTTTCATCAGTAAAGAGGGTACACATTTCACTGAGGAAAACTGTGAGTGCTATTCTAGTTAGAGGCCATTGCCATGTGAGTTGCATAGCTACCAAGTGCTGCTCTCCCATACCGCAGTACGTGTTTACTGCCGACACTATGCAAAACATCCTTTACCTACCAAAGTGTGAAAAGCTAATTATGCTAGGAGTAAATTGTGGGGTGTAGACCATGCATCTTAATTAAGTTTGCATTTCATTAGACAACATGCAAGATAGCCTTAAATTGCACTCTTTTTTTTCTGTGACACAGTGTGTATGGGAGCATGTTCACTCATTGTTTTTTAAGGGTGGGAGGAAACTGCATATATGAGTGTGAAGGAATATTGTACTTTAAATGTCTGTGCATGAGTGACAGATTAAGTTAGAGTTACTTATGTATTGCACATTTTCTCATTTACATTAACATAGCAGGAGTTAGCCAAGCAATCACATTATTTTTGTTTGACAATGATAGTATAATGCTTAACCTAATATGTCAAGGGTATTGATTTCTCAGCAGGCCAGTGAAACAAGGTGCAGAGATATATCTTGTGTGGGCTGTGAAACAGAGTGTAAAGAGCTTGTGGCACCAAATTGGAAGACCTTGCTTGTTGCCTTTCTCTGGGGGTTTCTTACCCTCCAGAAGAAAGAGAGTGGGCAGTAATTATAACTTACAAGCTTACTGTCTGAGACAATATTGATAAATGTCACTGCATAAGGTGTAGCAGCCTGCTTTTTATTTGCAATGCTAGAAATGTAAATGAAAACATAAAACTTGGCTTTCCTCCACCTGGTTGCTAGATTTCCGTCACAGCTTCTGCCAGCTGAGAGCATTGTGAATTTTTCTAACAATGCGTTTTCATTTGAATACTGTGCTTAAGCTTTACAGCACAAATACAGTTTTGTTTATTGCAAAAGCATATTTAAACAGCCATTAAGGTTTGGCATTGTTACTTGGATGTGTTCACTAGGAAAAAACCTGTTATTAAAGAAGAAATATTTTGAAAAGATACATTCAGTTTAGGGGCTGCACAGTGGTGCAATAGTCAGTGCTTTTGCCTCACTGCGAGGAGGTTCCTAGTTTTGAAACCCTGTCAGAGAGGGTCTCTCTGTGTGGAGTTGGTTCTCCCTGTGCGTGTGCGTGGGTTCTCTCCGGGTACTCCAGCTTCCTCTCACAGTCCAAAGACATGCTGGTTATGTTAATTGGTGACTGTAGGTGTGAATGTGAGTGTGGCTGGTCGTCTTTTTCTATATGTCAGCCCTGTGATTGACTTGCAAACAGTCCAGGGTGTACCCCGCCAGCTGGGATTTTCTCCAGCACCCTGCAACCCCGAACAAGAAAAACAGTGAAGATGTTGGATGGATGGATGGATGGACATTCAGTTTAATCTTTTATTGCAATGTGTTGTACAAACTGTTTAATTTTTTTGTACATGTATGTCCTTAAAAATGACTTTGTGTTTCCTTTCTTTCCAGGTTTTATCCATACTTGTGGAGGCAATTTAAAAGGAAGAAATGGGACGATAGAAAGCCCAGGGTTTCCATATGGATATCCAAATGGAGCGAACTGTACCTGGGTGATTGTTGCCGATGAGGGGAGCAGGATTCATATAGTTTTTCAATCTTTCGCTGTGGAGGAGGAATATGACTTTTTATCTTTGTATGACGGGCATCCACACCCAGCTAACTTCAGGACGAGGTAAGGAAGCAGCTCTGAAGCAGTGCACCTTGAAAGCTGTGTTTGAAAGCAGGCAGGAAGGGACAAGAAATACAAAGGGAGGACAGGCTTCAATGTTCACCACTGACAGGAAGTTCATCTTTTATGTGCACATGACAAAGACGGCTCCTTGTTTTGAAAAGGTGTCAAGCAAGTCAGAAGCATATGCGCATATAGAGCGACAGTTCCTTTCTGTCGTGTGTGCAGTAAAGGCAAAACACACAAATTAGATTCTGTTCAGGCACAAAGTACAGTTTGAAAACAGAAAAAAACATATTTTATGAAGCACACTGGTGAATGTTTCTGGATTCAAAAGAAACCCATCAGCCCTGAATCTCTATGCAGAATCCCCTGCATTTATTTGTGAATGAGCATGCTGTGTTGGCTTCACTGATGCATGGGTCAGCTCAGTAGCCACCATCCTTTGTTCAAATGCTCCACTGGAGGGGTCAGAGGTAGTGAGAAAACATGAAAATCAAACACAAAGATTTCTCCCTGTTTACTTTAGTCACTGAACAGGCAAACAACTGTTTGCTAAGTGTGCTCTCTGCATTCTTTCAAAGCCTGATGTCTGAGTCGTGTGGGAAGATTTTGCTGTGTTTATATTGTATTTCTCACTCTCCTCAGTATCTGCCTTTAAAAGAATTATCTGTCTCTAGCCGCGGTTTGATTCTGACAGTAAATTCACGCTATAGAGCTAAGTATTGTTGAATAATTGTTTTTGAAGAAGACATTTATGCTCATGGTGAGATGACAATCTGACGTTTTTACTTTGGAGGCTCATTATACTGAACACAAGTGTAAAATATTATAAGGGAGAGACACAAGAGGCTGCTTTTTATAGGCATTGCATGCCTTAATACAAAATACAGGACAAGGTTTAAAATCAGGCGTTTGAGCATACATATAGGCTATTTAGTCTTTGTAGAATGCACACTTCATGAGGATTGACTTGCCTAGTGAGAAGATCTACCTAAATTCAAAAAATATTTTGTAGCCAATAAATATGAAACATGATACATCCGATTCGGAGAGAACTTCATACATCAGCATCCTTTACATGCTCTAATTCCTATTCTTCAAATCAAAACTGGCTTCAAAGAATAGTTTTGAGTTTGGATTTCAAAGAAAAGTAACGCCTCAAAGGTTTCACATTTTCCTTTCTTCCTTGTCGAAGCATATTGCTTCAAATGAACCCAATATTTATAGATGAGTGTTTGTCTATATGAGAAGAATACGTCTCGTCTGAGATGATAGAGGAGTGAGGAAACCAGGAACCTCTTTTAGTCACAGACTAGGGTCCTGAAGTTGTCTGTAAAACAATCAACCGGTTTATGTGGCACAACTTAAGTGGAAGTAGACTGAGGTCTCATGATAACACAATGGAGAATGCAAAGCAAAACAAATGGCAGTGAATGGAAATAATTCAAGAGCTGAATCATTGCTTATACTTTACAGTGTAGTAGCTTAATCACTGTAAATACTTAAAACATTATGTTGCATAACACTGTTTCAAGGTCAGGGGCTTATGAGAGGTTTGTCACCATGCAGGTCGATTTAGCATCACTTCATGGTCTTACACAATTTGACCACACTTTTAGTAAAATTTTCTTCAAAATATAAAGATTTATGTCTCAAAGAAATGTCAGTGTCATGAGTTATTATCTATATTTTACATTCGATTGGTCTGGTAAAGAATATCGTAGGCCATTGATTCCTATCCTGGACCCCCCCTCAGATGAGGCTCTGTCTGCTCTAAGGTTGTCAAAATTTGAAATTATTAAATATAATCATGTGAAAACATTGCCAGGAAATGTATTCTCAGGTCTTTCGGTAAGAACAAGTGTGCGCATAATCTGATAGGATTTTATCAATGAAAACTCTTAAAATGTATGTTTATTTTTTAAAGCAATGTATCACTTTCTTGTGTGGGTCCTGGAGCTTTTCTTAGATACAAGAAGGTGGGGCTCTAAGGAAAAAAGGTTGGAAACCACTGTCATATGCTACCATTGAAATCACTGTTGTGCTACCTTTAACTGAGCCAAACCATAATATTCAGCTTTGAAAAAAAACACGGACTCCAACCAGGTGTTGATAACACATGGTATTTTAATGCCAGTAATTTCAGTTTAATGAGAGTATAATAGCACAACATCAAACAAGTTATGGGAGGCATCATAAGTGATCACATTTGCTGTTGATATTGCTTCAAATGCTATGATAAATTATTTTCTTTAAATGTAAGTATCCTAGTGCCAGATTGACGACTTCAGTGACAATAATAACCTCATGATTCATTCCTAGCTACCTAAAAACGTGTTGATGCGGATAAATTGGCTAATATTTAAACTGAGAACAAGAACAAGTGTTTTCACTGTAGCTCTTTTTTCAATCAATTATTATCAGTCAAGAAAATAAATCAACAGCTCGAAAATCCAAATTTCCTATAATTCCTGAATGCAGCAGATAACAAACTAACAGACGCCAACTTTTCATGAGATAGAAATGACTTTATGAAGATGAGACGGGAGACTATGCGTCGATTTCACCTGTGTGTGAGGAAATAAAGTAAGTGGCTTATTAAATCAATTTCTCTTTAAAAGCACAAGTGCACACACCCACGTTATCGATAGGCCTACTTCTGTTGATGCTAAAGTTTAGGGCTAGCAAGGAAGTACCTAGGAAAAAAGCTAAAGTAAGCGCATGTCTTTTGGTACACATTTCACGACAGGCTGACCTTGGGGAAAATTTATATTTTATGGTGGAAAAAAATGCATATAGTATTAAAAAAATCTAGAAACTAATGCATTGTGTATCAAAAAGGAGTGTTTTGACGTTAGTTTGGGGACTTAGTTTCAGTGCACTAGTATTTTGGGGAGCCATAATTAGTGTAATTAGGTGCACCTGTGCTTGATGTGACACGTTGAAACTTATCCTGATGTTACTGATGCATTACAAATGGGAGATGTCTTTTCTGTGATTTAAAATGAGGCTACTTTTGATTAATACAACGTTTTTTATTAAATGGAGTTGATAACACATCTTACTGTGATTGTGCATTAAAACAAACCAAATAGAAAGAAAAGGGACAGCCTTAATTGTTAGTTTTTTGTTAGGCTTCTTGTATGGGGGATGGCACTAATTGATGCCTCTATGTGACCTAACCACAAACAAGACCATCAGATCAGAAGAGTATTGACTATTTAGTATTAGTATTTTCATTCTTGTCATCAGTGCCTGTATCAATGTCAGATGAACGTTGTACTGCATGGAGACCAGAAGTGCATTTGTTTACAAATATCTCATAATATTGTAGGCTACATCAGAACAAAATCAACATAAAACTAATATAACTATTTGAATGAGTATTTTATTAGGGCTTCGTGTAAAAATGCAAATATTAAAGGTTTTGTTTTGGTGCCCTGTGTTCACTGTTAAACAACAGGCATTCATTGTTAAGTTGCAGTGGCGGGCTCTTTTTACAGTGACAGCTGTTTGAGAGGAACACACACATTGTGTCTTGTTAAGTACAAAGGAAGATTTTGTAGTAAATGCAGATGCACTGGTGTGTGAGTTATCAGACAGAAATAGGTAGGTGTGCTGACAGAAGTGGTTGTTTTTAGAGTTTGTCTGTGATTTTCTGCACAAGTTTTGGCAGAGGTTTAGTTAAGATAAAAAAGGGACAGTTGACATGCTTCTTTTTCTTCTAACATCAAGCTGCATTTCAAGTTTTGTGTCGCGTACCTTTTCCATTGACTTAACTTATCCCAAAAATAACGTTGGATAGAGGTGTAACGGTTCAGAGGTCACATTTTGATTGGTAGGCAGGGCCTGAAATAAAAAGAAAGATTTGTGAGGGTGGGATTAATTAATGATGATGCCTCTATGTGACTTACAAACTCAAACAAGACCATCAGAAATATATTTAATATTTCTTCATTTGTATTTTAATTATTGTCGTCAGTGCCATCAATGTCAGATGAAAGTTTTATTGCACGCAGCCCATGTGCATTTGTTTACAATTTCCAAAGAAGAGAGTGAGCGATACTTATGATAATTAAAAGTCAGCAGGATGTTTTTCTTTCAGTTTGAGATCACTTTTGTATTAGTGTATAAACAAGATATAATTTGCACCAGTGTATAAGACGCAGCTAACTTTTTAGAGGTAAAAATAGGTATTAAAAGTACGTCTTATACACCGGATTTTAGGGTAAATTGGAAATATTTCCTTGAAACATTAACATAAAATGTATCCTTTTATTGTGCTGAAATCTCTAGTTATATATGTTATGTCTTTTACATCAAGGCATCTTTCATGTCATGTGTTTAGTTTTTTGCACCAAATAATGAAGAGTAGTATCCGTATCGGTTTTGATAAGCAGTACCAGTATTGATACCGTTCAACGATTCCCCATCCCTACTGCTGGTGAAGCACTGACTACTCCGAAGAGAAACCAAAGGGTCATTTTGCACTATTTGATGGAGCTTTTTTGAACGAGAATCTGGTGAGTTTATTCTTCCTTTGGTTCAAAATGTATATAAATAAATTGCTCTTGTATGTATTGATAATAGCAGGAAAAAAATACTTACTTTTGTTGAAACTACACTGAGATGCATATCTGACAAATCACTAACTGTCCTTCCATCCATGTGCACAAGGTCCTTTGGCCTGCCTTTCTGAAAGTGTCCAACAGCAGTCCTACATTGAGAGCAATTGCCCAGGACTTTGAGGATCACTGACAATTTCTGAACTGTTTGGATGCACTGGATGGGAAGCACATTGCGATGCAGTCACACAAGGGTCAGCAAATACAAGGGCGACAACTCAAGCATGCTCATAGTTGTTGTGGAAACAGACCTTTGATTCATCTTCAAAGTTGTCAATTTCAGTTGCCACCTTAGTGTTTTAACCAGTTTTATTTTTTGTGTTTTTTGGATTAATTTAATTTACAAAATATCCTATGCATTATGATGTTGTTTCA